TATAATAAATTTCAACTACTCACTTGTCATTGAGACGTTTTAATAATTATCTTTTTGAGACTTTGTTGTAATTCTCCCAACAAAAAGTTCTAAGGTAGATGGTTTGCAGTAACCAGTAAGTATTGTCTCTGCAATGCCAGAAGTCAGCAGCTGATCCGGCTTCTCTCCCTTATCCCTTCCCATATGCTATCGTCCTCTACTTGAAACTACACCATTTTGGTGTAGTTTAGGTGAGGTGGCACCTTTTTTTTTCCAAACAAGTATATAGTATCTTGAAGTGTTTTTTTAATACTACTTAGTATCCTGAAATATTTTTTAATATCACACAGTATTCTAAAATAATTTTTGGCCCAGTCGGAGCCCTAAAATATTTTTTTCTGTGAAATACAGTATTTGGCTTCTAGCACATTGAAATATTTTTTTGAGTACCATGTAGTATCCTGAACTAATTTTTAGTACCACTCAGAGTTCTAAAATAATCTTTGATCCAATCAGAGCCCTAAAATATTTTTCCTATAACACCTAGTATCTGGTTTCCAGCACATTAAAGTATTTTTTTAGTACCATGCAGTATTCTGAATTTTTTTTTCAATACCACCCAATATTCTAAAATAATGTTTAGTCTAGTCAAAGCCCTAAAATATTTTTTTTTTGTAACACCAAGTATCTAACTTCTAGCACATCAAAATATTTTTTAATAACACCCAGTATCCTAAATTAATTTTTAGTGCATTCAATACTCTAAAATATTGCACAAAAAGTATTTCAAGAAACAAAGTGCTAATTAAAAAATTTCTCCGGATATTACATGGTACTAAACAAAAAACCTTCAGCGTGTTAGAAGCCTTATACTAGGTGTCAAAGAGAAAATATTTCAATACTCTGACGGGAAGCAAATTATTTTAGAATACTGGCTTATGCTGTAAAAATATTTTAAGATGCTAAGTAATATTAAAAAATATTTTAAAATATTAGATACTTATTTGCAAAAAAAGAAAAAGCACCAGCTCACCTAAACTACACCAAAACGTTGTAGTTTAGGCAAAAGACGGCAACGGATGGGAAGGGATGAAGGAGAGAAGCCGCACCGCTTTTTAACTCCCCAACCATGAGTAATAAAGCAATTCAACCACTTGATGTCCTGTAATTCATAATGACCATACCGTACTAGCATACTGTTCCAGAGCTATTAACGTCGTTTTTGGGGAGTTGGTTGATTTTTTGGGAAAATTGAAAATAAATCTCTCGTTGAGAATTTAGTTGGTAAATAATACATAGGCACTTTGTGCATGTTAACTTTCTCAGTGTGCAATTTAACTTCCTTTATGTGCAATTCATCTTCACCATTGTATAATTATATTTTCTTGTGTCACATCTTCTTTTTGTGCAACTGAATATTTCCATCTTCTCTTTTGTACAAGTTATCATCCTTATATGTAAACTAATCTCTTGTATTCAAATAATATTTTGTGTAAACTATCTTCTCTACGTGCAACTCCATTTCACTTGTGTACAACTTATCTTCCTCTATGCAAATCATCATCCTAGGAATCATTTGCCAATTAATTTTCTAAGAGGGATTTATCCCAATTTTTCCATTTTTTTCCTTTTTATGAATAATAAAACGGAAACTTTGTTCACAATCGAAGGTAAAAAATACAGAGATCAAAGGAAAAAAATCATTAATTTCATGACTCTGTTTAATTAGTTAGATTTTACATTCTCTATATGCAAAAGCTATGAAAACAATCTAAAATTTTGATGGTCTCATCAATGGTATCTTGAAAGGAATGATTATTGGCTTGATTCAAGAGAAAAAGGTTGATGGCCCCTGCCCAATCGCAATATGCTTCCACTTCCCTAATTCCCAGGTTCCAACAGAGTTCTAGACCATTTGCAACTCCTAGCATCTCAGCTGGCAGGAGGATATATATTCAGTCGGTTTGAGTTCTGTTTCAAGATGATTGTTGCTTTAGGCTTTCAAGAAAATGTAAAGTTTTTTGGACAATATAATTTAATTTCATCCTCCAATAAATGAGGAGTGTTTATTTTAATCATCATAATAATATCACTCTTTTTCAAATTATGATAAATCTTTTTGAGAAACATTTTCGTTTCATTTTATATGTCTTTCTAGAACTTTAAAGAAGTATTTACTCATTGGCAAAAAATAAAAGAAGTATTTACTAATACTATTTTGATATATCCGTGTTTGCTTCAATAACTTTAATTTATTCATCACGTTAACTAAGGATAAAGTTGGTCATGTAGTCAATAGTTTCCGTAGGTTTTTGTCAATTTTTTTCTGATAAGTTGTACTGTGAGTTTTTAATAACTCATTATTTTGAATATCTTGAAAGGATATTTTAAGTGATTTTTGAAGAGTTATCAATACATTTTGAGAAATTTCTAAGAGTTAATTGGAAGATTTGATTTTGAGCATTATTTAGGGGATTTTCTTTGTAAATATCTTAGTTTTAAATAAAGGTAGTTAATAATAATTTTTAGAATTATCTCATTTTATTTAATTTTATTGTATATTATTTCAGTTTTATTTTTCTTTTCGTTTTTTTCTTTTCTATTTTATTTTATTTTCTTTTCAGCTTTTCTTTATTTTATTTCTGTTAGTCTTTTCTCTTCCATGGCCAAACCACATGCAGCGTTAGAGATCATATGGAAGTTTGAAAGAGAGCTGCGACACCGTTTGGCAGCAGGAGCGTGGGTGCTGTGGAGATAAGACGCACCGTTTTGAGAGACCATTTTGGGAGACCTAGAGGGACGGCTCATCATCGTCTTGGAGGGGGCCGAAACCGGTTGATCGATCGTGATCTTCTTCTTCGTTGGACCCAAGGAGAAACGCCGACTGGTTCGGCGGGGAGGACGACGCTGGTTCTGAATCAGTGGGGTTACAGGAGGAGAGGCGATAGGGCACTGTTCAGCTTGTGTATTTCTCACGCCAATCAAAAGCAAGGAAGGAGAGATGCTGTCGAGCTAGTTCTGGGAGGAGAGGAGAGCCACTGTGATCGTCTTCTTCATTGGAGTTAGGAGTCGACTGGTTTTGAGCAGAGGAGCGCGAGCCGTGATAGGACCTTCGAACTGTGTTTTGTTTCCAATCTTTCTTTCTTTCTATCATGATTTTGAATCTGGATTTAGTTGTTCTCGTGATGGTTCTGTTCAACGTCATGTGTAGCTAGTTGTTTTTACAACCTAGAGTAGCTACGAGGATGCTTAATGTTAAATTGTGGTGACTTAATCTTCTTTTATTTATCTATTTGATGACTGACCACCGTTAAGTGTGAATTTGAGGATTAAAGCTTTCCTTGACAAATAGAATTTTAATTAAACTCTTAGATTAAGTAATATGGGATTAGATTGATAATCTAATATGTGATTAGGATAAAAATATACCTAATTATCCTGTATAATTGTTGATGAGCGAGACCGAATTATTTAGCTTCTTAGGTGTTTATGTGAGGGATTATATAATTAATTTAAAAGAGAGTTATAAGTGAATCGACAAGTATTTGTAGCTAATTATACTCTAAATTAACAAAATTAGTATTAAAGCTAATTAATTTAGTAAAACAAGGTTTAAAAAGCTAGCAAGGGATTAGTAACTCTAGATTGGGTTTTTTAACATTGGTTTTGATTAATTTGATAAAGCTTTGTTTTGTTTTGTTTTAATTTCTTTTTACTCAATTCAAACTTAATTTTCACAATTATCTAATCACTGTTAACCAAGTTTTTTGTGGGATTGACTTTGATTTGCCATTATCTATTTTTATGATCCGTACATTTGCAGCGTCTTAAATATTTGGTGGCATTAAACAGAGTATGATTTCAGATATTTCATATATAATTGGAGACCAAGAAAAGGATCCTGATATGTTGCCAAAATGGGGGGGGGAAAAGGCAAAAGAAAACAAACTTGACTTTTTCTTTTTATAAAAATCACACATTTGCATATCTTCTGCAAATGGCTTGGGTTTGAATTGATGATTTTATATATATATATATATATATATATATTTGTTTATAAAAGACAAAAAGATATGTGTGTGTGTGTGTGTGTGAGCAACAATCGCGGCATATCTTCTGCAAATCTCTACTTTTAGTAATTTTGCACCAAAGTTCTAAACTAGAACAGCATGTTTGACTACTGTTTGTGCCTGTTTGGATTTGTGCAAGATGAATTCTACAATATGCCGTTGTTAGCTGCAGTTATTTTCGATTACGCACAACTTAAAATTATATAAACGCTTTGTTAATTCAACCATTAATCAATAGATGTTGATTTGTTAATTCAACCATTAATCAATAGATGTTGATTAACATAATTATTTTAGCCGTAAGGGTATCAACGTAGTTAGGTGCATGTAATGTAATTACATTACAAAAAGATACTTCCTCCGGTCCTAAATATAAGACTCATTTTGTAGTATAAATTACAAAATATTGTGTAGCTTTTCCCATCCCCTGCTATTAACGTAATTCTTGACACGTACGTGAACAAGATATTGTGTAGCTTTTCCTAATTAATATTAATTTTTGAAGGGAAAAATGAACGCCAGACATTTAGTTATGACTCTTTTAAAGTCGTTAAAAGTCGTTTTTATTTTCGTTTAGCAGCTGGCTGCTTGCTTGCTTCATGCTTTAATGTTTATTAAATTATTATTTCCAATCCAAATTCTGACACAACTCGTTGTGGCTTAATTTCTTAATGGGGATAAGGTTAATTGCGATGGGTCCCTCCTCGATTTAATCTGATCAATTTTACTCCTGTTGATAAAGAACTTCGTGGGATATGATGGAATCTGGTTGTGTTCTGCCAGTGGATATACTCTGTTTAATTAGAAAGGGTCTGATGGATATACCCGTGCATGTTCTAAATATGGGCTGATATACGCACATCAGACTTGGCTAAAAATAAAGGCAGTTGGTTTATTACACATTAAGATTCATGAAGAAAGTTTTTATTCAATGGAAAATACATATAGCTAAGACATTTGAATTACACACACAGTTCATGGCCACTTCTCCCCCTTCTTGAAGATGCCCTGACCATAAGTAGAAGAAATTACTTCAACAAGAAGAGGGAATTGTAATAATACAAAGAGAGTTACTGGAACACCAGCAAGCATAGCAACAGGAAGAAGGGCCCATAAGTGTGACGGTTTACTTTGCCACATGATCATTATGGTTGCGGAAAAGGCAATCATCATAGTTGCAATGGACAGAAACAATGTAGAAAGACCTATTATCAATTTTCGAGGTAGTGAGTATAAGAAGTCGTCTTCTGCATAGCGTGAGGTGAGGATCCCCAAAAATGTGAGTACAGAAGTAGTGGAAGAAAATAGGGAAAGTGCATCTGAAATTAAGAAAACTTTAAATAATCTTTTCTCCATAAACATTGGATACCCTGAATTCTGGTTGTTTCCTCCTGGAACGGTTAACGCCGCGGCAAACATGATGGTAACAATTAGAGCCCCAACAACAGAGCAAGAAGATGCTGTTTCTTTCATCCACTTCTCTCCTTTATCCCTAAGGTCCTTGTGGTTTTTCTTGAAAAAGTCCAAAGGGTTCAACAATTCCCTGTTTATGAAATACCTATATCCAGGTTCCACCATCTTCTCCACTGCCTATGTTTACAAAAAAGAAGACATTTAAATAAATAATAAATGAAAGACACGAAGTCATGGCTAATAAATAGAAGTGTTGATTGATTGTATCTTGAAACATTTGTTACATCTAGGTCAACCCAATATTATTCTTGCTTTCTGTATATGCATATACAAAGAATTATCCAACAATATAACAAGTCTCAGGTGTGTGCGCGCATATGATTCATTTTCATTTATTAATCTCTGCAAGATTCTCACAGAGAAAGAGCAATAAATTTCACTTTCTAACCTTGAACCATTGCAGTTCTCTTTGCATTTGCAGGGCGGCACCAGAGATGCTGTTAAGGTAGGAAGCAGGAGCCAAAGAGGCTGCCATATGCAGCAAGGAATTTTTCTCTTCATCTATCCACGCAGCCACCACATTATTAAAGCGAAAACCACGGAGGAGGTTGAAAATCTCAGCATTACGATTTGCAACAGCATTGAAGAATAAGGGCGAGTATGGGGTACCAAAAGTGACTAGTGAGATTAATTGCGGGTTTGCCTTCATTACTTGCAACCAAAACTCAACATTCCCTACAACAGCTGCAGCTTTCAGTGCTCCTGCAATTATATTCTTCTTTTCTTCATTCAAAACTATCACATTCTGGCAAACTAGGTTTAGAATTTCAGCTGTTTGTGCATGTTGCAGCTTCATCTTCCGTATTTCCTTCATCCCTGAACCATTGGTAACTCAAATAAAACTTTACATTTAATCATGTCAAAGGCATCCAATTTAGGTTCTGGGGAACTCTGTGGCTTACATACACACCTGAGAAATCATAGATGCGGGAGATGAGCCGATGGCGTAGACCGCCTGTCCCTGTTGGCACATGGATATTTTTAATTAAGGTTAAGACTTCTCATTGTTCACAAATTGTACCTAGCTTGACGAGGTTAGGTTTGTTGTTCACATGAAAAGCTTTACATCGTATAATCTAATCTTCTAAAGTCCTATAGAATATAGTATACCTTCTTGCTGAATAGCTATGCACAAATGCCCTGTGGTTGTGGTTGATGGTATTTTGATATCTTCCACCCAAACAGTGATCAAAGAAATGGGAAAACGTAAGATTCTTCAAATAATGAAGCAATAAAAAACTAGAAGTACAAGTAAATTGGGTGAAGCTATTTTATATTTCTTATATTCTTTTTGCCCATTTCACCCTACGTCGCCAAGAGATACACGATAACTAAGAGGAGCTGTTTCATCATGAAATGCCAGCTATATGATTGCGGCCAAAACTAAAAAGGAGTTAACGATGCCTAAACTAGTCAGGCCAAGAAAAAACATTGCCTAAACTAGCGACTCATGTTAGGTCTTACAAACAAATAAATGCATTGAGTGAAAATTAACCAAATTAAAGAATTAAAGAATGGTGAAAAGTAATAATATGCACTAACAGTATTGATAGACCCATCGCTTCCAGAACGGAAGTTGAATTTTATTAAGAGAACTGGAAGCCATGACTGCAATGGTCCTAAGTGTTGAGCGTCCACGGTAGCAAAAAGCAGCTCCGTGCATCGTCGAAGCAAATGCAAGACAACATCTATTTATGTATCAAAATCAACAAAAAAGATGGAACGTCAAAATAACGACATATGTGAATAATAGACAGGGATGAAGAAATGAAAATGAAACATATTGATGACATAATTGTGTAGAAGTCATGTTACCAAGACCACCAGTGACGAAACAGCTCATGAGGAACACAGGACCCACAAGGACCTTTTCTGGTTTGAAAGCTTCCAAAGGAGTGACGTTATAGAGATAACTTCCAACTTCTTTAAGGCCAGTACGAAAAGCAACTTGCGCAGGAATCGCCCATGACGTGCCTTTAACTGGCATTACCAGTGCTTTTCTATTTTTGTTGACCAAGCATAAGACAATTGGGATGACTCCACTATGTGATGCAGCTATTGTAAGTGGAGTATGCCCATAAGTATCATATATTTCAAGATATTCTGCTGAAACTAATCTCACCAACTCCTCCACTATGCCCACATGCCCAAACTTTACAGCCACATGAAGAGGCGTTTCGCCAGTTGAAGCAGCAAAATCTACGTCCAATATCCTAGGAAGGCGATCAATGGATGCTTTTGCAGCGGACCAGTCGTTCTTATATATGGCCCTGTGCAGATTACATATCTCTAGCTCTTCTGCATCTGTCATCATCACTGTAACCAGCATGCATGCATTAAATACACACACACACACACACAAGCACAGGCATATATAGACTTGGAGGGCAACGAGGGAACTGTACTTAGTAGCTTCACAAACAAAGAAGGACCATATTTTTTGAGACACTAATAACTATACATGTAGTGCTCTTTCCATCTCTAATTATAAGAGCCATTTGTTAGGATGCCTGGTTGGTGTCCCTAATTATTATAAGAACCTTTATAAAGTTATAGGAATATGTTTTCACAAATATAGCCCTCGGAATAATTACAATTCACGTATACATATATATATATATATATATATATCTCTAGACATGATTAGCTAGGGCACTAACCAGGTGGAGGGCGAGGAGGTGGTGGGCGAGGAGGTGGTGGGGAAGGAGGTGGTGTTGCATTGTAGGTACTATAGAGAAGGTCCCAAGCAAGTTTGGCTTCAGAGAGCCCTCTTATACGAGAGTGATTGTGAGGCCCACAAGAGATACGAATGACATGTAATGCTGCGGCATTCTTTCTTCTCCATTTGGCAAAATCTTTGACACGATATCTCTCTGGTCTGGCCCTACTGCTGCTCGTTACTTTCCAAAGATCTCGAGACATTAGATAGTTCTTAACCCATTCGAACCAATCTTCTCTGCTGTCTTCCGTGAGTGGCTCCGCAACTATGTTGTTAAAATTGCGCCTCCCTTCCATAACTCAACTCAATTAAAGCTGTTTCTGCAGATCCATGGTGAAAATTGAAATTGTAGCTACCAATCAATGGGCATTATTTCTTTATAACTAAGTCTGCTTTCAATTGAAAGGAACAGGTCAGAGATCAATCATATGCACAACTTACCAGTTGAAGTTGGCTATGTATGCCCCTTCGCTCCTCTGACGGAAAACTTTGAAACTCTATGTCAATGGCTCTGTCTTCTTTTTGCAACTCATTTTCCCCTGTCTTTGGGTTTTTGAGCTTCCTACTCAACAGAAAATGATACTAATAATAAATAAAATGGATTTTTTTTTTTGGGAATACTTTCGCATGATATGATTTGGAATAATGCAGGTTGTAAAGGAAGCGCTAATTATTGACCAACAAAGAAAATGTAAGCATTAATCATACCTCTAATTTCGAAATGGACTTTCAAAATTCAAATTTTCAAAAGTGTTGCCCCCACCAGGTGCCACTTTTCGGAACACGACACATGAGTCATCCAAACTATAAAATAGTAATTTTCGAAGCCCTAGGTAGCAAAACTCAGGCCCCTTATATCATGATGACAGATCTATAACCATTGAAATATTAATTTAAATTTTATAAAATAAGTTAAAAAACTATAAAATACTAAGTTTTATAAATATTAAACAAGCACAAATGATGAACTTAAAACTTTAAAATTTATTAAACCACGATTATAGCTATGAACATCCGTTAATCGTTGTCCTTTTAATATTCTCTAAATTTAAATGTACTAATGCATGAAAGGTAAAAGAAAAAAAGCACTAACGAACAAGAAAGCATAATTGAATTCATTGAGGTGTTGCCAAAAGGGAATAGATAAGGAGAACATGCTTAACTTTTTCTTAAAAAGCACAAAATAAAGCGGGGGGGGGGGGATCATGGTGGAAAACCATTTCAAAGGGGGTGACGTGGAAAGGAGCCAGTAATCCAACCAACGTGCTTTCTTATCTTCTATCTTGCCACGACGCGGATTAGTATTGGATTAAACTGACTTCTAATCTAATTGATTTTTATAACTGAAGTTAGAATAAAAATCAGTTAGTATAATGCGATTTATGTTTGGATAGATATTTATAAAAAATCAGTTAAAAAAGTTGAAAGTTATTTGGATAATTAATAGAAAAGTTAGTTTAGTTATAAAATGACTCGAAAAGACATGAACTTTATTGAATAGTAATGTTTGAAATTTTATGTTCTTAATGTGATAATAGTTTAAAAAAATACATAAAATTATTATAATAAAATATAAATAGTTTATTTGTGAGATTATAAAATAAAAATATTTGTTACGGATAAAAATTTGAAAACACATTATAGATAATTAATTAAATATACATAATAAACAAACATGAATATAAATTAAAATTTATTTGGTCTTTAATTAGAGTAAATGAAATCACATAACTAATTAGATCGTAAGTTTTGCACAATTTTCTCATAAGTCAGTTAGAAAAGTTGATTCAGATTGCGTCGGATAAATCAATTAGAAAAGTTACCTTTTTCCATAAGTCAGTTAGAAAAGAAGTCCCATCCAAACAATCTTCTGAGTTACAATAAGTCACTAACCTCAATTTTACACTTCCTCATATGTTTTTGGCTTTTTCAACTGCAATTCAAACATAGCCTGCATCTTTGTTTGCTATCTTTGGACATGACAATCAGAATCTAATAATGAGAAATTCTTGTGTGCACTGAGAGCAGCACGTCATTTGTGATCTCCTCGGTCACTTGAAACCAACTTAAATAAATTTAAGGGATATTTGGATAGAAACCAAACCATAGTTTCAGAAGTACTTTTACAGTTTACAAAATAAATATATAAAGAAATTTGTCTCATTTTACAAAAAAATGCTTCGAAAATCATGGTTTGAAGGTTGCCAAACACCCTTTTAATCTCATATGACATCATGATCAGAGAAATAAAAAGTCATGGGTCCCACAGAAAAATTTATTTAACGATTTTCTCTCTCCGTCAATTTAATGTATCCCTCTTCCTTTCATTTTCACTTCCAACAATGCCCCTTTTTCCTCTTCTATCAACCCACCATTATCAATAATCCCATTCCACCAACATGCCCTCCCGGCAATATATTAATAATATTTATTTATAAAATTTATACTAACTAAGTTAATGTTATAAAATAACAAATACATCGGTTTATATATATATATATATTAATTTTTTGAGTGGAAAAAACTATTTTATTACTTAATAAACTTTGATTGTTATTGGAATTTTGCAAATTCTTTTAAATTTTAAGTCACATTTAGATAAATTTTTTAACTTGTCAATTTTTAATTGAATTGTGACATGCACATACTTTTACAATTGACTTTTAATATAAAAATTAGATAACTAATTTATAAATATTAATAAATTTATTTGTGTTAATTATTTATAACAATTATGTATAAATTTTCTTAAAATATTTTTTTAAATCATATGCATCATAACCGTATCGCCTGTTCATGAAAATTTTCTTAGTATATATAATAAATAAGAATACTTTAAGGAAGAAAACTCCAAGCTTGACAGATAAAATAAATTAAGTCTTATATTTAGTCCTAAAATGAATATCTTATATAGCTCTTATATTTAAGATGAAAATAATATTTTTGTAAAAGACAAAACTCACATCAATTTACTTATATTAATTAGGTTTATCCGATCAAATCTTGTTATGTGTGATTTTTTATGCAATATGCATATATCCATTGGGTCCATTTTTTTCAATTTATTTACATATACATATACATATAAATGTTTAAGGCGAAAAATTTAATAGATGTGAAAATATATTAAGAGAACTAAAATTTTATAATACCAGCGAATTTTATTTAAATGTATTATGTATATCAGATATGAATAAATATTTTAATATATAACTATGTATTTATTATTTTGTAACATTAACTTATTAGTTAACATAAATATTGTAAATAAATATTTTTAATATAATAATTAATATATGGCGGGGAAGCACGTTCATGTCTTTGTGTCTTGGTAGAATGAAAAAGGATGAAGGCTCTCTAACGTGGTTTTCTAGCAGTCGAGGGATTCTGATGGAAGAGAAATGAGGGGTATTGTTGGAAGTAAAAATGAAAGGAAGAGAGAGGCACTACATTGACGAAGAGAGAAATTATTAAATATAAATTTTTGTGGGACCCACGATTTTTTCTTTCTCTGACCAATGATGCCATGTGAGACTGAATTTATCTAAGTTGATTTCATCTGATCGGGAAGATCACAAATGATGGGGTGCTCCCAATTCACACAAGAATTTCTCTCTAATAATATGGGTTGGTTGGGAGCAGGACCGAAAAAATAACTTATTTTTAATTTAATTTTTAAAAAAAATTAGATTAAATAAAAATTAAAGTAAATGATATAAATTGTGTTTGGATTAGATTTTATAAAAATTAGTTTGTAAAAATTAGATGAAGTAAAAAATTATTTAAATTATGATTAAATAAAAATAAGTTTAATTTGTAAAATTATTAAAATAGATATAAATTTTAAAAAATAAAAAAAATTAAACAATAAAATAAATTTGAATTATTTTAATATGAAAAAGCGAAATTTAAATCCTGAAATATATTTTAAAACCTTAATTTATATTAAACAGGAAAGAAATGTCAAGAATCTCAGCAGTAAATAATCAAGATGGAATCAAGGAAGAACAAAACGCACAATCAATTTTGGCAATCGATTAAGAGAACCCCGAAACCTTACTGGTGAGGGTCGTGGAGGGGAATCGACCAATAGTACAAGATGCTTAGATATGCAGACGCGAAATCGAGCACGCGACGACGCGACCGGTGAGAAACCTTAGATTGATGGGTAAGTGGAGGACCCCAAACCAGTGGGTTGGGAACAGCAAAAGGTAACTAAGAAACCATCGGCTTCTCCGTCATTGTGCGCATCACTGGACTGACTGCTACTACATTACAAACGATACATTTAGGGTCCCAGCACTGGACGGCGCTCACGGTGAAGACGTGACGGATGTGATAGTGAAGATCCGATGGACGTCACAGCGGAGAGGCGGCGACGCTCTGCTTTCGACCGGAGGAGAGGAAAATGAGTGAGAGGCTTTCGAAACCGAGAGAACGAGAGATAATGAGGGAGAGAGAGAGAGAGAAACTATCTGTCTGACACAAGCACGAGCACGGTGAAGCTTAAATCACCGCAACATAAACATCCTTAACTTATCTGATTTATTATAAATTTTTAATTAATTATTTTTAAATAAAAATTATTTTTT